TCTTCCCAATTGGCTTCCTCAACTGTTGGTTCCGCCATAACACTTTTACGGAGGCAATTTCCTTATTTCTCAATTTCCGGACTTGCCTGTCACGAACGGCAACTGGACCTTCTTCATATGATAGTTCCTCATTAACCTCAATAGTTTCAACTGGCACAATAGTGGACGGATCTCCCACTACCTTCCTCAACATAGACACATGGAAGACCGGGTGTACCAATGACATCTCGGGTGGCAGCTCGAGCTTGTATGCTACCTGACCAATCCTCTGAATGATTTTGTACAGTCCAACATACCTCGGACTCAATTTTCTTTTCTTTTCAAACCGCATGATACCCTTCATGGGGGAAACTTTTAAAAATACCCGATCATCATCTTTGAACTCCAAAATCTCTGCGACGAACGTCCGAATAAGAATTTTGGCGACTCTGAGCAGTTTTCAACCTTTCTTTAATAATCTTGACTTTCTCCATGGCCTGATGCATGAGGTCTGGACCTATCAATTCCGCTTCTCCAACCTCGAACCACCCAATGGGAGAATTTTACAAATTTCTAACACATATTCCTAATTGATACTACGAGCTTTCGAGTTTTTGAGTAGAAATTTCACGGGGCCTTACAAGCATGACACGGAGATAGCCAATCCATGCCCAAAATGATATCGAAATCCACATACACAATAATAAAAGATCCACCCGAGTCTCCAGACCCCCAATAATCACCACACACAATCAGTATACACGGTCTACAACAACAGTATCGCCCACTGAAATAGATACATGAATAGGTGAAACAAGAGACTCAGGGGGCGTATCCAAATATCGGGAAAAGTACGATGACACAAAAGAAAAGGTGGTTTGTTATATCCATGCTGGGAAAAAAAGAAGAAGATTTCTCGGAGAGTTGGGCCTTCTAGATTTTTCTTTTCTAAACATTTTATAAAATTCTTTTAATAAGCTGAAATTATGTTCCGTGTTAATTACATATTTATCCCGTCTCAACAATTACAAACAAAAGTTAAAGAGGATGATGTATGGGATGAAGTCGTCAGACGTTACTTATATATTCCTTAGCTTTTCCATTGAAAGAATTAGCCTAACTTTCATGACAAGATATATTATTAGGAATTAATCTTGAAGTTTGGAATATGAGTACATTGTTCAAGTGATTAGCCAACTAATAAAAAGCGACTAGCTCACTAAATTTCCAACAAATCCTATTATTCTCAAGGCCAAATCTCAGTACTAATTCAAACAAGGTAATGCAAGTACTTTAAAATATTATTTTATGTAAATAAATGATTGGAGAGAATCTTGAGTAGTTAGAACCCTACCAAATTCTTTACAGGCTATAAACTTTCCACCAATAATGCCCAAATAACAAACAAAGAAAAAATGAATACCATAATTTAGGATGTCTTATTTAAGCCAAGCATAATCTTAAACTAGCTAGTAGCCGACGAGTGGAATAGTCCATAATCAATTAATCTCGTTATTAGCATAGTTCGACCGGGCAGGTTCCATAATGAAATCACAATTAAACAATTTACATTGAACAGTCTTCAACCACAACAATTGTATCAATATAGTTATAAAATGAAATGGCCCTGCCACACTTGAAAAATGTACGCATTATCTTAATTTTGCCAGAGCAGAGTTAATTATCTGCTAGAAAATGGCAAAATACATATTTTATCGATCGACATTGTCCCCAAATCCCTCTTACACATCTATTAAAGACGGAAATAATATTACACACCAAAATTTTTAAGGGTGTGTTAATTACACACCACTTCAGTGTTTGACCACATCTGCTTAAAAATTGCTATTACCCGCGTCAATCAGCGTCTGACACATGTCATAAATCGTTAAAGAAAACCCTGCCCCACCCCCACTCCTCATGTTTCCAAATAAAAAAATACAGAAAAAACCCCACCCCCTCTTCATCTCCTAACCCCATCATCTTCTCCACCACCACCATACTACCACTAACCCTTCCATTGAAAGCACCTTCTTCCCCAACTATAGATTCAACATCTAAGTAAATTTTTATTCAACAATAATAACGAATTTAAACTAATTTTCTAGGTCATGGAATACCAAAATCAACAAGATCTGATTAAATTTTCAAGCTTTTTCAAAAAGTCAATAATGGTGATTCTTTAATTTGTAAAGAAAATAGTTAAAAAGGGGGGAAAAACTTAATTTCAGATGAATTTTATATTTTCACGTGCCTCTTTTATGTGTAATACACATGTGTGACACATGACAAAAGAAGTGTGTAATTGACACACTTTAAAAGGTTTTGGTATGTAATACTATTCCCATGTTTAATATATGTGTAAGAGAGATTTGAGTACAATGTCGATGGGTAAAGTATGTATTTTACCGCTAGAAAATAGATATTTTAATTTCCTCATCTCTGAAACCAAATTAAATGAGGTACTAAAGATCATGTCAGTCAATACTCCTAAAAGTTTATTATTCCACGCCCTAAGGATGGCCATAAATCAAACGGACAAATCATATGACCATCTGGTGGAACTACTAGTTGTTTTATCTCTGTTTTACTGAGAATTTATCGGAAGCAATATTTTTATTTTTATAAAATAGGGGTAAGATTTGCGTATATATTGACTATTTTTAGTTTAACCACTTGGGTAAGCGGCTATTTATCACTTTGTCATAAATTATATATGCTGTCTCCGGACTCTATTTATGAAAAAACACTGAATTTTTGTTGTTGTTGTTTTTGTTGTTTCTCCTTGATTAAGGACTTCAGTTTTTCTTCCTTTTTCAGTTTCATTACAGTTCTTCATTTTCAAAATGTCTACCCCGGAGTTTGATCATAACTTAACAGTTAACTCTGTGAATCACTACTCTTTGTGGATTATATTTACAGAGACTATAAGCAACAATGCTGTCTCTGAGCAAAAGAATAAAGGGAAAAAAAAGAAATGCACCATTTAAGTGGGACTTGGAATACATAATAATTTGAAGATTTAACTTAAATAGCCGCTTACCCAATTGATTAAACTAAAAATAGTCAATATATATATATATATAAAAAGAAAATTTATGTATAATATGTGTATAACCGTGAATAATTTATGTAGACTGACCGGAAAAAATAAATAGAGAATTTGCCGGCTATTTGTCATGTAAAGATCCCATAATTTTGACTCTTTTGGAATTTTCACTATTGCATTCTGTCCACATATTACATATACTCTATATAAAGAAAAGAAAAAAAGGGAATAACCCATGATTTAATAACTTTGATTAGACTTTAGATATTAATTAATTACAATGACATTACATTTAAGTCACTTTGCCATTCTATCATTCTATGCATACCATTATGTTTTTAATACTATCAGGTTCATATTATCTTCCTTAGGTATCTCCTTAGTCATTCTACACATCATTATTTTGTCTAAATTATCTTTTATCTCTCCTTTAGATATTTTAGTTAATTAAATAACACTCCACTAATTGAAGCAGTAATGATAGATTTGAATTATTTTGAAATAAATTGATAGTTTGTCAAAATGATTAATACTTGGGATAGGAGGGAGTATCGATTTACAAATTCATTCTTGTTTTCTTTTATATGTTTTTTTTTTCTTTTTATTGCTTTTGCTTGGAGGCTGTTGAGAGGAAGGTTGACCAATTTGTACATTTTATTAATATACTGCACCGGAAAGTAGGGCCGTGCATACTTTGATAAATATCGAATTATAGTATCGAAATCGAAAATTTTAATATTGGTTATTCGACATTTCGATATTTGATATGATATTTGGTTAATTTTTTATTTTTTGAAAAAAAACTTGATATTAGATATGATATTCGGTATTTAAAAATAAAATGCTGAAGTACGATACCGCACCGAAATATATACTAAGTTACACAATATACATGTGACTGATGAAACATAACTATTAAAGTTATAAAATTTTCTTTCTCTTATTTTTATAGTTTTCTTTAACCTTTACCACATTTTCACCCACTATATTTGTCTTTTCCCCTTATATTTGGTTGCCTACTTACGTTTCAACCTTTCTCCCCTCTAGGTTTAATATTTTTAGTTTTCATAATTTTTTTACTATATTATAATATTTTTATTTTTGTATTTTTGAATACCTTATTTAAGGATATTACAGTCTATAATTTTATGCATTAGTTAATATTCAGCCGATCAAATTGAATTTACCAAATCGAATAAATCAAAATTAAAAGGAGAAAAGTCAAATAATACCAAATTTAATTAGAAATAATATTGGTATAGTACTTTAAGAAATCCAATATAGAAAATAACGAACTGAAATGTACCGTATCGACCGAGGAAGACACATACCAGAAGCCGGGCGACCAATAGAAGTATGACGCGTTGAATAAGCCTCAGCTATATATTTTGAAGACAACACAACAGACAATTACTCCCTCTGTTCCATTTATGTGAACATATTTCCTTTTTGGTCCGTTCCAAAAAGAATGAACCCTTTCTAAATTTGGTAACAATTTAGCTTAAAGTTACAACTCTACCCTTAATGAGAAGCTTTTATAACCACACAAATATTCTGGGGCCCACTTGGACTTGTTTAGGACCACAAATTTTAAAAGTCTTCATTTTTTTCTTAAACTCCGTGCCCAATTAAACAAGTTCACGTAAATTGAAACGGAGGGAGTAGTTTTCTTGGTACTTTTCCTGTTTCCACGTAGAACAGGTCCACGGCAACTCGGCAAGGTCTATATATTTTACATGCATTACAGGTACGTGACAAGCCTCGGCTTTACCAATCATAAATTGTCAATACCTTCTTAATAATAATTAATGTTAAAGATAAGAAGTAGTTGCGGGACAGAAAAAAAAGGATAAAGAAAAGAATAGATACAGTAACGTGAACAGAGATGTTCAATACTAAAATGAACTATTTGTCTTTTGGACAGTACCTTTTTGGCATAAAATTTTGCCGAAGAAAGCAAGAGGGATAGATAGCAAGAGAATTAACTGCTCTTCTATTATGCAACGACATATATATTAATTTCCCATCCTCCCTATCGCTTAGCCAAGAGGAGGAAGTAAAACATTAAATTTTAAAAACACAAAATGGAAGAAAAATAAAGGAGAAGGCTAAAAATGAATATTCATATAACACATAGTTGAGGATGATTGTACTCTTCTAATTCTGAAGCAAGTCGAAAGAATAACAAATTTTCTTGAACGTGGGCAAGTTGTCCTGGAACAAAGGAATGAAAACGTCAATACTTCCGTCTCCGATGAACGACGGGAGAAGAAACATCATGCCTTCTGTTGGGAAATAAGAAGGCATGAACATGTACGGACAACCAGTTCCAAAGTCTAGGTCGTAAAATGGAAATCTTAACCAGCTGTCAACTTCTAAATTAGGGCATAATATGTGCTTGTTCATGTCCGCTGTAGGGACAAGATCTTCGTCCTCCTTCAGTACTTTATGATTAGCAAAGTCAATGAATGATCTGAAATAGTTGTTGTTTACCTTCATAACGGCGTCATGAATAAGCTTTGTTGCATAGGGAAGAGGCTCTCTTAAAAGGTCCTTCACTTTTGCAGTTGGAAATGCCCAAAGGACTAAGTTTCCAAAATACTCATTAGGTATTCTGGGGTTCAACCTCATTCGACCATTGACGGAGATTCTTATATGAGTGGTCTCAAAGCCACTTAGACCACGAGCTTTAGTTATGGCTCTCCATAAATGTGCAACAAGGCTTTCGAATGTGCTATAAGGTTTATTGTTGCCATTCATGGAAGAAGCCTTAGCCTTGATCTTGGCAAGAAACTCTACTGTGAAATGGACTTTGTGCACCACTATATCTTCCGTTACATGATGAGTTTCATTGAGCGAATTCTCCTTTTTAACAAACTTTGACATGAACTCTGCCCCCTTATGCTCATACTCAATGAGAGGAGGGTTTCGAGGGTTGAAAATTGTACGATCATGCAAAGGAAGTGGATTGATGTCAAGCCCTCGACAGGCTTGACCCCATGCAACCAAGAAGTTGCTGGTGGAATGGCCATCCGCCACCGTATGGTGGGCGGTGAAGCCGACCACCAACGAGCCACAAGTGAATCTTGTGACTTGAACTTGAACTAATTCCACCACATTATTCAAGCTAGGATGTAGTTTGAGCAAAGAAGCCGAAGGCTTAAACGGTATTACTTTATCAAGGGTGCTATCCGATGATGCCTCGACGAATTTAACGCCTTCATCATTGAGTAAAATCACTGGATTTCCACGTTCGTCTTTTCCTAATCTCCCTGCCCATTCTCGGTAAACTGCTATGGCTTTTTGAAGTCCCAATTTAATGGCGGCATTTGGTGGGGTAGGAGGGCGATAGGCATAGATGACAGCAATTTGGGCTTCGTAGGTGACCTTATCAAATACACTAAGGGGAATGTAGCTTTTAGTAGAAGGAGGGATGTCTTCATAGAAAGGCTTAATGATTCTTGAACTTTCTACTTTGACCTTCATGATTTTTAAATTCTTTGATTTGGCAAAGTGGAAAGAAAAGAGAAGAGATATAGAAGAGGAGAATGGAGGTTGTTTAGCTCGAGTTATGATAAAGGCATAACTTAGGTTTTTATAAGTATTATGCACATGTACAGTCTTACAATATAATTGGCTAGTAAGACATGTTTGTCTTATAGAGAGAAAAATATTAAAGTTGACAACAAAAACTAGTTAGGAAAAAAAGAAGGCCAAAAAAAAAGAAGGGAGAAACAGGCCATGGGGCCTATCATTCAATTAGGGAGAGGTGCTTAGTTGTCTTATTAGCTAGCTAGCTCTTGAAGATGCTTCATAGCCAAATTTAATATTATTACTTTTAAAAATTTAAAATTTCAGAAATGGGCTTGACTTTAATCAAATTGGTGTTAATATGTAATTAATCACATCTTGCCAACGTTGCAACTGCATGCTGTGATAATGTGATACCAACAACCTTCTTGTTAATTGTGCAACCCATTGACTTCTTCACAATTTTAAATGATACTCCCTTCAATCATTTTACCTTTGCACACGATCAGTAAGAAAATACAAACTCTTAGAGAAAAAAAGATGTATTTATTAAATTAATTTTAATTAATTATTACCTTAACACATTGGAATATGTAAATAAGGATAAATTTTAAAAAAATAAAAGTAATTTCTTTCTGATTATGTAAATGAACACTTATTTTGTATTAAAATAAAAAGATAAAATAGTCACTTATTTTGAACCGAGAGGAGTAATGAATTTGGACGCATATCCATCTTTCCTGATCACAAAAGGATCAGGTCTTCTTCATTCTGTTTTCCTAAATGAAATATATTTAGGATAAAAAGTTTTTGGACCTTGGCAAATGTCAATATGACATCTTAAAAATACTAATACCGTGTGCTGATCATGGATATTAAAACGTAGTATGTGATTGGGATATAGTCGACAATGATTACAGTTTGTGTTCTAAAAGGTAACATGGGTTTACTTTTGTTTCTTTAATTTATCTTTTGGGATATACGGTAAATTCTCACTTGACTTCAAGCCTAAACCGACAACTGGTTATCTCAATTTTTAATGGCGGCTAGTATTGTGGTGAAGGCAGAATCGCACATTTGTAAGCTAAGGATTTAACAGTTTAATTTGAAAACTGAGATTTTATTAATTTATATAACTTTGTCCAAGAACGCTAGAAGACATTTTCGACCAGTTTGCATTTCAACAGTTTTCGACAAACTTTCAAAGGCATTTCATACACGAAATCGCTGAACATGACTTCATATACTAGTTCTTTACCTTATCAAATTTGTCGAGAAGATTACTAAGAACTGAGATGAAATGTCACGACCCAAGTTCTCCCTCCGTGAATCATCGTGACGGCATCTAGTCTCTATGACTAGGTAAGCTTAACGAATTGCGGAAGAAGAAAAACAACAGAATAAAACTAGACAAAACTGTAGAAAATATCAAAAGGAAGCGTTTAAGATGTCGCTCGGCATATACAATACAACTCTCAAACTGAAACTACATTTTCCAAACCCCGAAATCTCACGAAATCACAAGCTATTAAATAACTACAAGAGCTTAACTCCAGAATGTCTCAGCAAAAGTAAATACAGAAGGGATGATATTATAAGGGAGAATGGAAAGGGACTCCTCGGTCTGCGGACGCGGCAGATATACCTCGAAGTCTCTGGAGAATCACCTCGCCTCAAGGGTAGTAGGGCTGAGTCGAAGTACTTGGATCTGCACATGAAATATATGCGCAGAAAGGGCATGAGTACACCACAGCAGTACTCAGTAAGTACCAAGCCTAACCTCGGTCGAATAGTGACGAGGAAGGTCAGGGCCCTACAGAGTTCAAATGAAAAAAACAAAGTGTAACAGTATAGGATAAGACAGTATAGTTAAGTGCAACAGTAAGAAGTAACACATGATAGGAAGAACAATAACAACTATAACAGAGACAAAATAATCACAGAAAGAAATACAGCTGAACACAGAGATAACAACCGGGGATCTCCCAGGATACCGTCCTGCAGTCCCAAATATAAATATCCAGTGGATCTCCCGGGTGTCGTCCCGTAGTCCAACTCATAATGCACAGGGATCTCCTGGAATACCGATCCGTAGTCCCAAATGTAAATATTCAGTACTGGGGGAATCTACCGGGTGTTGTCCCGTAGTTCCAATATAAAATACAGGGGGATCTCCCGAAATGCCGATCTGTAGTCCCAAAGTAAACATGCAGGGGGATCTCCCGGGATACCGTCACGTAGTCCCAAAGTAAACACACAGCAACAACACGAAGAATACACAATTCAATTCAAGTTTCATACCAAGGTAAAACAGGTATTTCTAACCTAACATGCTACACATAATCCAAATAAGGCAGTTTGAGCAAGTAATGCAATTAAGTCAATTAGACATACTTCTCTAAGCTAACAGCGGGATTAAATTGCAAATAGTATAAACATGAAAGGAAACACAATTAAAGTTACTTAATAAAAACAGAATTTTCAACAATTAGCACAAGTACGCACTCGTCACCTCACGTACAAAGCATTCAAATATCAACAATACCAATCCTAAGGGGAGTTCCCCCTCACAAGGTTAGGCAAGTCACTTACCTCGAACCGGCTCAAAATCAACCTGAAACCACGCTCTTGCCACGAGTACTCAACTCCAAATGGTCCAAATCTATTCAAATCAATTGTATAATGTAAATATAACTTCAAGTAACTGATTCCACTAATTAATTCTAAGCTAATACGCGAAATTAGGAAAAATAACCAAAATGCCCCCCGAGCCCACATCTCGGAATCGGGTAAAATTTATAAACTCAGAAACCCTCACACTCTCACGAGTTCATTCATACCAAAAGTACCAAAATCGAACTTCAAATAGTCCCTCATATCCCCACTCAAAGCTCTCCAATTAATCAAGCCCTTACCCTCAATTTACCACTGATTTTCCTTCAAATTTCATGCTTAAAATGATAAAAATCACCACAATAATGAGCTTAGGAATCAAGGACCTTACCTCAATGAATCCCTCTGAAAATCTCCCATGAAATGGCTCCCAAAAGCTTCTTCTAGTTGAAAATATATGAAAATAACCCAAATTTGCGAATGAAATCTTTTTATACTTTCTGACCTAGGTTTTCCACACCTGCGGCCATTTCCCGCTTCTGCGGTCTAACCACCGTACCTGCGGTTTTCACTTAAAGGTCTGGGACAATACCTGCGGTCACTCTCTCTCGCAGTTGCGCCATTGCAGATGCGTCCAAATGTCCGTTTTTGCAGCTCTGCCTGACTCACCTCTTGGTCGCTTCTGTGGCTTGCTTCCGTATCTGCAGTAGTCACACCTACGGCCTCCCAACCACAGATGCGGTTATGATAGCAACCATAAAACTTCAGCTGCCAAACTCAACTCCAAACTTTTCGTTAACTATCCGAAATCATCCCAAGGTCCCCGGAACCTCAACCAAAAGTACGAACAAGTCATATACCACTATCCAAACTTATACCAATCATCAAAACGCCTAAAACAACATCGAAACATCGAATTAACCATGGATTCAAGCTTAATAACTCCAAAAATTCTCAAATTATGCTTTCGATCAAAAAGTCTATCAAACCTCGTCTGAATGACCTGAAATTTTGCACACACGCCACAATCAACACTACAGAGCTACTCCAACTTCCGGAATTCCATTCTAAACCTTAGATCAAAATCTCACAATCGAACCGTAAACTTCAAAAATTCAACTTTCGGCATTTCAAGCCTAAATAAGCTACGGGCCTCCAAAACACAATCCGAACACACCCCTAAGCTCGAAATCACCCAACGGAGCTAACGGAACCAACAGAGTTCTATTCCAAGGCCGTCTTCACACTGCTCCGACTATGGTCCAAATTCTAAAATTTACTCTCATTTAGGAACTAAGTGTCCTAAAACTCTCCGAAACTCCAAATAAATCCTCCCGAGAACTCACAATAGCAAAAACAAACACGGGGAATGCAGTTAATAGGGGATCGGGGCTTTAATTCTTAAAATGACCGGCCAGGTCGTTACATCCTTCTATACTTAAATATTCATTCCGAACCTGCCTATCCAATATCACCACTAGCTCCTCAATATAAGATAGATCCTTGTCCAATTGGACAGAACTGAAATCTAACACGTGCGAAGGATTTTTGTGATACCTCCGGAGCATCGAAATATGAAATGTCGGACGAACTCTTGCCAAGCTGGGAGGTAAGCAAGCTCAAAAGTAACCTCCCCAACACGTCGCAATATCTCAAAGGGACCAATAAACCTCAGACTCAATTTCCCTTTCTTTCCAAATCTCATAACGCCCTTCATAGGCGAAACCTGAAGCAGAACCCACTCTCCAACCATATAGGAAACATCACGAACCTTCCGGTCCACGTAACTCTTCTGTCTGGACTGAGCTATACGGAGTCTATCCTGAATCACCTTAACCTTCTCCAAAGCATCCTAAACCAAGTCTGTGCCCAATAATCTATCCTTACCCGACTCAAACCAACCCACCAGGGATCTACACCGCCTACCATATAAAGCCTCGTACGGTTCCATCTGAATGCTGGACCGATAGCTGTTGTTATAGGCAAAATCGGCCAATGGCAAAAACTGATCCCAAGACCCTCCAAACGCAATCATATACGTGATCGAGGCCAACCCTGTACTACTATTGAGTAGCAAGAGAGGTCTAAGTAGCTTTTATCCGAGAAGGTCGGGATCGATTTACACAGGGAGCTAGATATTGGAGTTGAGTTTCTATCGAAAGTGGAGTTGTGTATTTGTTCCTAATTGCACTTCTAAACATTTTTGGGTTTTATATTAATCCTAATTTTATAATACTACAATGCTAAATTAGGCTAAGTAAGCTAAGATTAAACTATTACAAGTTGTTCAAATAGATAAAAGGCACTAGGGTAGTGACTTTCTCCTAGGTGGTCAATTGACGGATTCTTGAGTCTAAGGCTAGATTGTCACATTTGAGGAATATGATATAACCATTGCACGATTCTACTCACTCTACACCTCTCGGTGGTTCGAGTGATTTTGCCCGAATTGACTTTCTCAAGACCAATTTGGTATGCAAATTTGTGCAAGCAATCAAGGGTCAAGTCGGTTATTACTATCTCTAGGTTTAACCCTTTATTGGGGCTATCAATCTCTTGAATATGCCCCAATTCCTTGTTGGACTAATTTCATGGACTTAGACTCTCTTTCTTAAGAAGAGCCAGTCTACTAGGCAACAAACTAGTGTTTGCAACCACTAATTCCACATTAAAACCTTAAATTAGCCCAAATATCAAACACTCATAGACAATCAAGCACCAAAACACAAGACCCATCAATTACCCATACTAGGGTTGAGCCACAACCCTAACTAATGGGTATAGCTACTCATAATTAGAGAAGAAAATAAAGCAATAGATGAAGAAAAGCCCATAATAATTAATTGCTAAATAAAACTTGAAGATTCAATGTTGAAACAAAGTTAAAATTACTCAAAATAGTAAAAGGAATGAGTTCACGAGCGCAGGTCTACGTCCAAAACTATCTGATGACCTAAAAATGGGAAAAGAAACTATTTATAATAGGAAGAAAATTCTGGAAAAAAATACCCATGTGGGGCTAGTGCGGACCGCACAAAATCGAGTGCGGCCGCACTAAGGATCTTGGCTTGACTATTCTGCTCTCTGAAGTTGGCCACCACGGACCGCACAAAATGCACTACGGCCGCAATGGATTCTACTGCGGTCTGCACAAAAAGGACTGCAAACCACATTAGCTAGTTCCTCCGAATTGTCACCTCTCTAAACCTGAGCTATGCGGACCGCACGAAATCGAGTGCGGCCGCAATGAACCTAATGTGGACCGCACAAAACCCTTTACGGCTGCATTGCCTGGTGGCCTGAAAAGCATACTCTCTGAACTTTATCTTTGCGGACCGCACAGAATGATGTGCGGCGCACTGGCCTTGTTTGACTGTGGTCTTGTCTTGGTACTTGTGCAAGTTTCACTCCTTTTGAGCTAGTTTTTGACACCTTGTCACCTTGTTGATTAAACCTGCAATCAAGCACAACTTGTGAGCCTTTGGGACTATTTTGTACGCATTTCTAATCAAAACTTAAGCAAGAAGGAGTGTAAAATGCATCATAATCCCTAGTTATCAACTTCTCCAAACTTAAGCTTTTGCTTGTCCTCAAGCAAATAAAATAAGACCCACCCTTTAAGAGTCAATTCCAAGAAAATTCAACTGACCTAAAGTGACCTCATCTAACATTAATTGGGACTAACAATTGCCCTCAATTCAAATGAATGACTAACAATGTTCACTCTTTTTAAACACCATGGATCTAGTGCGACACAAGAGCATCAAGAGTTGACTCAACATATCAAAGAAACTCTTCCTATTACATTGGTCATTGTGGAACCCAAACTCACACATCCTCAGCTCTCCCTAAGCAAACCTCACCTTTAGGATAGTGGCACTCAGAACGAGGTTAATGGAACTACACTAATCTCTCTCAAGGAAAAGTCACAAGTTCTGCTCTAAGTACCATATGTTTGCCCCTTATGTAAGTCACCACTAATAAAAGTTTCATTCAACTCAAGATCATATAGGGCTTTTATGGAGACATAGTGAAGGCTTTTGGTTTAGGGTAGGGAATATTTGGTCTAATTAGGTTCCATCTCCCCTTTAGCACTTTTTATGCTTCATTTTGGCACACATTCACTCGACTTTTTGAGTCATTTCACTTCTTTCTAAGGGGTTAGAGAGACACACTATCACTCTTTGTTGTTCATTTCAACTCTTTACTCCTTTCTCAACTTTTCACACCTTTTATTCTTTGCTTTTATTGAATCCCTTCACTCATTTCTACTTTGAACTAGGGGTGTTAAATGGGCCGGGTCAACCCGGTCCCGGACCGGCCCAGCCCAGTTAAAATTGGAACCAGCCCGGACCGGTTAAAGGGGGCTGGGTTGGGCTGGGTTAGGGGGGACAGGCGGGTTGGTCCGTTTACCATTAAAATACCGGTTACCCGGACCGGTCCAACCCGTTAGGTGAACAGTACCCATAAACCGGTTAACCGGCCCGGCCCGGTTTAACGGTAAAAAAAATTACATTTTTTTTTAAATTTGGGCCAGATCTGACCGTTGGCAACGGTCCATTTCAGAAAATGGTTGTTGCCCAACGGGTGAATTGCACAAATAGCCCAATTTTGGGTTTTTTTAAAAAAAAAAAATTAACCCCTCTTTAAAAATCTATAAATACCCTCCCCCCCTCTTCCTCGTTTTTTCACTCATCTCTCAATTCTCAATTCTCATATTCTCTCATTTTTCAATCTTCATTCTTCACCTATTAAAGTGCAATCAACTATTTGGCTATTTTTTTGGAATTTAATTTATCGTAGTACTTATTTTTTGAAGTTTGAACAATTGAACTTCAAAATTGGAAGAATTGAAGTTTCTTCGTGGTAATATATGAGTTGCAGAATCATCAAGTGCTCAATTTATTGCCGAATTCGGTGCACTCCCTCCAACTCTTTCTCTTATTTACTATTTTACTTGCATATTTATTTGTTTTGTTGCTAGTAGTTAAATTTTTATAATATGTTTAATGCTGTAAAAAGAGTTTGTAACAAGGTTATTAATCGGGGNAATTGACGTTTCTTCGTGGTAACATTTGAGTTGCGGAATCATCAAGTGCTCAATTTATTGCCGAATTCGGTGCACTCCCTCCAACTCTTTCTCTTATTTACTATTTTACTTGCATATTTATTTGTTTTGTTGCTAGTAGTTAAATTTTTATAATATGTTTAATGCTGTAAAAAGAGTTTGTAACAAGGTTATNCAAGGTTACTAATCGGGGAAATAAAAAAAGAGGTAGTACTTCAGGTTCAGCATCTGGTAGTAATTTAAATACCTCTCCAAATATTCCTGAAACATTACCTGATAATAATATAGATTATGAACAATTGCAGGAAGATTTTGGTATAGATGATAATGAATTAGAAATGGAAGATGAGATACCACTTACACCTAGTAGTGTTGGAGCTGCTAGCAGGGGTGGTGGTCGTGTTGCTAGTAGTAGACCACCTGTGGCCCCGACTAGTAATCGTAGAAAAAGAAGTAAGGTTTGGAAATTCTTTGAGGAAATAGAAGGTACTGATAGAGTTAAATGTAAACTTTGTAATGATACTTTTAAACATAAGACTGGGGGTCAATTAGGGGGGACTGGGACACTTAGTAGACATATGAGAATTGAGCATCCTATAGAATGGGGATATGATGGAGATGAAAATCAATCAACTCTAAACCCTACTACTGGCGGTCTTGTGAAATATGATAAAATGAAGGATCGTGAGGAGTTAGTAAAAATGATTGCTTTGGGTTGTCTACCTTTTTCTTTTGCTTCTTCATCATATCTTATTTGGTATATTCAAAGGACTTACAATCCTTTATTTAAAGGTATCCCTAGAAGTACTTGTAGAGCTGATATCTTTAGACTTCATGGACAATATCAAACATACATACGTTATTTGTTTAGCCACCTTCCTTGTAGAGTTTCTCTAACTTCTGATATTGGCCATGCTGTTAATGGAAATGATTATTTGACAATTACATGTCATTGGATAGATGATAATACTTGTATGCAAAAACGTATTATCGCTTTTAGATATGATGAAGATCAGAGTCATACTGCTACGTTTATAAGCAGTACTATTTGTGAAGTTGTTGAATTTTATAATCTCAAGTAAAAAGTATTGTGTATGTCTTTTGATAATGCTTCTAACAATAATGCCGCAATTTCAATATTAAAACTGCATTTGCAACCACCTCTTGATGAAATATTTCATGTTCGGTGTGCAGGTCATGTTTATAATTTAATTGTTAAAAGTGGCCTTGATTTATTTTCAACTGAGATTACTCATATTAGAAGAGCAGTTGGTGCTATTCAAGGAAATAATAGACAATCTAGAATAAAGGAATTTAAGAATAAGTGTGTCCAGTATAACCTTAAATCCAGATTCATGCCAGACGAAATTGTTACTAGATGGAATTATACATATATATTTTTAAAATGTTGCTACAAATATAGATTCCCAATAACTGAAGTTGCTAATGCGCATTGTACTTATCCAAACCGTATGTTAACAGCTACNTCAGTTCATATTGATTATGAAGAACTTACTAAGGCAATGCAAAACCTTTGAATTTATTCTTTTTTGGTTAATTTACTTGTTAAATCTAAACCTTTCAATTTGTAAGTTTGAATTTTGAAATAAATATAGCACTTGAAATTTATAAGTGCATTTTTTTCCATCTTACTTGTATTCTTTATATTAATATAACTTACAATAGTTATACAAAATACAAAAAAAAAATTAAAAAAATACACTAAACCCGGCCCGGCCCCGCCCCCTAAACCCGTAACCCGTACGGTTCAATTTTTACCCGGATGAACCCGAACCCGTTAAACCCGTTAAGAATCAACCCGGAACCGGCCCAAACCGTAACCCGTACAGGTCCAAAAAAAAGCAGCCCGGCCCGGCCCACCCGTTTAACACCTATACTTTGAACATTCTTTTTGTCTTTTTGCTTTTCTTTCTTTTTCTTCATTTTGTACCTTTTTACCACTTTGTTGCAATCCTCGTCTCTCCCTCCAAACTTATACTTTTGCCATGTGCTAAGGAAAAATCGGGTGCCAAGAGAGGCTATCTTATAGAACGGGTAAATGCTTGTATTATAGTTCTTGAAGAACAAATGTCTAAGGCTCAAAAGGGTTGACTAGGAATTTTATCATTGGTAGGTTATGGAAGTGTTCAAGCTATCATTTGGATCAAGGAGAGCCTATAATCATGTCTCAAGTCAAATTACACTTAGAATTTTGCCTCGACAAACATTCTGGGCAAATTCTAGACCAATGGCTCGGGACTTGGACTTGCAATGCAATTTCTCACCACACAAACTATGGGATCTCTAAAGACACAGAGTCGGGGGCCCACAACAACCTTAGATAAGATTTGAGCACACAATGATCCCGAAAAACCACTTGATGATTATCGGCCAACACAAGAGTCTCAAGGTCACAAATTTCACCATCCTATACACAACGATTTGTTTTTGACCATAGGATTAAAGGCAAATGTGTTAGGCCCAAGTGAAGCTTTGTTTGAGGCACCCTTACCACTAACTACTAAAAAGCAAAAAAGAAAAGAAAAACAGACTCAAACCCTTAAGAAGGTTGTCATGCCATCCATCATCGGGAAGAGCCACCCGGCTTACACAAATTCCACCTTTGGAAAGAACCGTGACATTAAGAACCAAAGGCTTATTGCAAAAAATCAAAACAATAAGCTACAAATATAAAATAAGAAGCTAAGAAAAGGAAAATGCTGAAAGTAAAATGAATATGTACAAGATGGGATTTAATCGAATATACAATAGGGGAGATGAATATATACAATGGAACATAACTTTTATATACAGATCCAAGGTAAAAAGTGCGAAAAATATAATGAAATACTGAAATTATATACATACCAAAGATAAAAAAAAGAAAGAAAGAAATCATTCATATATACAGTCATCCAGATCTAAATAGGGCCTACCCCCTCAAATGAAAGCTGGCATTGTCCCAAATGCTAACTAAGCAAAATAAGCACCAAAAATAGAGGAAAGAGGAAAAAGGAACTCCCTATGGGCCGTCCGTCTACATGGGATCCTCTGTGGTCCCTGGGTCCTCTATATGTTCAGGAACCTGTGACTGGCTCCCTGTAGTCTGTGGCTCTGCTGGGACCTGGGCCTGGACTGGCTCCTAGGTTGTATCCTGAGGTTGACTGTAGGAAGTCTCTGGTGGGTCCGCCCACCGGATAACTGCATCATCAGACTGAGGGATCACCCTCTTCCTCTTAGGAGGCCTCTAAGACTCCTGATTTGGCTGGGGCTGGGTTGGTGGTGCTAGGTCATGCAATAGCAAATCTAAAGGCAGATGATCCGCCTTCAATCTCTCAACCACGACCTGGAACTCCCTCACCGACTCTTTGGAAGCCCTAGTCTTCCTCATCTTCTTTGCCTCCCTAGCAAGCTCCTTGAGATCCTTTCCGTGTGAATCAACAACGTCCGTAAGAAATTTCTGATTCTCAAGGATCTTCTTCTGGTTGTCTAGAAGATCCTTGAGAGTGTCCTCAATGGACTGTGGGACCTGTGGAGGAGGATGTGCTAACTGAGCTTCCACAGTAGTAGATAATACAGACAGCTTAGAAATAATTGTCTGCATCTAGTTGTTGATGCTGGTGAGGGCCTAGCTCAAACGGTGAGTAGTCAATGGATAGGCAATGGTGGAAGGTATCTCTAGATCTGCTGAAGTGTACGGGCATGGGGCCATGTCTGCTGAAGTGGAGGGAGGCTGTGGAGTAGTCACTACTACTACTACTGGCTCTTCAGACTGGCCAGTTGAAGTAGTGGATTTTTCCTTGAAGTGCTTGCCCATAGGGTTGTCATCACCATGTAGGATATACCACGAGAAAGGTGTCTTTGCCTTCACTTTCATGTCAAATTTGTGCTTCTCCACATTTTGGTCCTTCAGGTACATGGTTAGAAATTTAGGGAATGGGTAAGACCTATCACCCTCACTCACTACCCGTGTAATAACCCGGGACATCACATTCCCGACATTGATTGGGTACCCTACCATGATGGATGCTACTAAGATCGCCCGATGAAGTGGGAGTGAGTTGTCATGGGTGGTAGGGTCTAGTCTGCTGCACAAGAATGTCTCCCACCCCTTGGCCTCGAAGTTCAATGTCCTCCTCAATATCTTCAGCCCCGCAGTCATCCACACGTGGGTGGTACCTAGAATTTCATCTTGTCTAGGTATAGGGACTCATCCTCCTCCGTGAAGCCTAAATAGTCATTGATGGTCTTGCCATCAACTTAACTTTCAAATTCCTCACTTTGGTGATCGTGGTACCCTTTTTGATATGGGCCACGTTGGTGTAGAATTCTTTCACCAAGTGCTCATTGGCGTCATCCACCTGCCCGATAATATAGTCCCATCCAACTCTTTTTCTGAATTGCCTCAGCACATTGGGATTGTGAGGCAAAAGATCCCGGGTGATAATATTTCTCTCAAGTATTAACCTCTTTTTTGGCCACCACTCTCTGAATTTGTGGTAGGCAATCTCACTGACGAACCGGTCCTCCCATGCCTCCGGGTTCCTAGTACGCTCTACCCCACCAACTTGGGGCTCTCCCTCTTCTGCTTCTTCCCCTTCTTCTGCTACTGCATCCTCTCCAGATAATGAAGCTGTAGGAGAGGTGGAGTACTCATTTCCACTACCTATAGCTGAGCCCTTAGACGACTCAGAAGATACGTGCACTAAAGCTTGGGTAGTGGGGGAAGGTGGGGGTGTATCTCTCAACCTATTTCTATCCGACCAGTCAGGAATGTACTCTGGCACGGAGTCTTATGATATATCCCGAGAGGGCTCATACTCACTCCACGACTGATCAATGGCCCGGTCTGCAGCTTTTATAATCTTCCTTGTGTTTTTTATGTTTTGACGAGCTTGTGGGGTTAATCTTATCATCTTTTGTTTCCCACCCCGGGAGGACTCTCCTTTTCCTGTTTGTTTACCACTTTTTACTCTTGATCTCACCATTTTCTGCAAATGACATTCATTCAGACTTTGTTAGTATCCAGCAAAACAATGCAATTCACAGTTACAGGAAAAAAAATGTTGCAGACAGTTTTAAACTTTTAGAGTGCGGACCGCACAAAATGCAGTGTGGACACAAAGAGGCCATTGCAAACCGCAAAAAATCCATTGCGGTCCACATAGAGGTGGGGTTCGAACTACCTATTCTCTGAAACTATGCACCGCGGACCCCACAAAATGCAATGCGGCCGGGGTCCTCAAATGTCAACTTTCAGGACTTTCACCATTGCAGTCCGCACAAAATACTATTGCGGACCACATAGGGGCACTACGGTCCGCACAAATTCCACCGCGGTCCGCACTGAGTACCCAGTAGCAGCACCAACCTAGGGTTCATGATTTGTTCAATTTTAGTCCACTTTATCACCCATTGAAGAGTCCCTAAGTGTTTGTTTAGTCATTTAACTACCTAATCCTAATTAACACAGTAGTTTAACTACCCTAAGCTACAAAGTCAAAGGGAAAACCGGAAGGGAAGAAGAAGAAGAACTAAGAAAAAAAATAAAAATTCAAAGAAAATACATAAATTAAACAACTAAAAAGACGTTAATGTTACCAGAAATAGATGAAATGCAGAGTAATGAACTTGAGCAGTTAGTTTCGTGCAGATGAGAAAGATGAATAGTAAAAATTTTGTGCTCTGAGAGTGAAAGGATTGAAAAGTTCAAAAGGAGGGTCTCAGGTCCTATTTATAGAAAAAGGTCCTGGGGCCTAGCTTACCTACCCACCGTGGACCGCACAAAATGGCACTGCAGTCCGCATTGCTCAAAACCATAGGGCTCAGACAAGTCAACCACTGCGGTCCGCATAAAGTGCAATGCGGCCGCAGTGGACCACCGCGGACCACACAAAATGCAATGAGGTCGCGGTGGTAAACTTCAGAGAACCCCAAATTTTTCAAATCACCAGTGCGATCCGCATTGATTTCTTGACCCACACTGAGGTCTTTCCTGCCGTACAAAATGGCAGTGCGGTCCGCATTGACAACTTCAGAGAGTGGTCATTTTTTCCAACTTTTTTCCTGTTGCATCAACACAATCCTATAGCATCTCACAACCAGTCAGTCCCAAAATAAATCCCACACTACAATGAAAATCAAAGAAAAACAAGAAGAAAAACAAATGGGTTGCCTCCCAAGAAGCACCTGATTTAACGTCGTGGCACAACACAGATTACCATCAAATCATTTGAGATGAAGAAGTGCCACCACGTGGCTGTCATCAATTTTTCCCAAGTAATGCTTGACCCTGTGGCCATTCACTCTGAAAGCTTCCCCATTTTTGTTCTTTAAATCAAGTGCACCAAACGGGGTCACAAGCACCACTTCAAAAGGTCCACTCCATTTTGACTTAAGCTTTCCCGGAAACAGACGTAACCGAGAGTTGAACAAGAGAACCAAGTCACCCACTTTGAACTTCTTGTCACGAGCATATTTATCATGAAGGTACTTCATCTTGTCCTTGTACAAGGACGAACTGGAATAAGCATGGAATCGGAATTCATCAAGTTCATTAAGCTGCTCCACACGAAGATTTGTTACCACATCTCATTCAAGATTTAATTTCCTCAAAGCCCACATGGCCTTGTGCTCTAACTCAACCGGTAGATGGCAAGCTTTCCCAAACACCAACCGATACGGATACATACCAATTAGAGTCTTGTAAGCAGTCCTATAAGCCCATAGAGCATCATCCAACTTTTTTGACCAATCGGTCCTATTTGCATTGACTGTCTTTGACAATATACTCTTGATTTCCCTATTTGAGACTTCAACTTGGCCAATCGCTTGAGGATGATAAGGAGTAGAAACTTTGTGGTTGACACCATACTTTGCAAGCAAAGTGTCAAAAGCTCGATTGCAAAAATGAGACCCCCCATCACTAATGATTGCACGAGGAGTGCCAAACCTGGTAAAAATGCTCTTCTTGAGAAATGCAACACACTTCGGGCCTCATTGTTGGGTAAAGCTACGGCTTCAACCCACTTTGAAATATAGTCCACTGCCAGGAAAATGTATGTGTTCCCACACAAGCTAACAAACGGTCCCATAAAATCAATGACCCATACATCAAAAATATCAACCTCAAGAATGGTATTGAGAAGCATCTCATCTTTCTTTGAAATTTTGCCCGCTCTTTGGCATTCGTCACACCTCTTTACCAGTTCACTTGCATCTTTGTACAAAGTTGGCCAATAAAATCCACAACTAAGAACTTTGGAAGCCATCCTAGCCCCGCCATGATGGCCACCATAGGGAGAGGAATGACAAGCCTCCAAGATACTCAATTGCTCTTCCTCTGGGACACACCTTCGGATCACACCATCCGTGCAAATATTGAACAAGTACGGCTCATCCCAATAGAAATCCAAACTATCCCGTTTGAGCTTCTTCCTTTGGCTAGAAGAGAGCTCATACAAGATTATACCAGTCACAAGGAAATTAGCAATGTCCGCAAACCATGGCATACCATTCACCGACACCGAAAGGATTTGTTCGTCGGGAAATGAGTCATTGATCTCTAGGCCATCATGAGGCCTCCCCTCCTTCTCCAAGCGGGACAAGTGGTACGCCACTTGGTTTTCACTACCCTTCCGGTCCACAATCTCCAAATCAAACTCTTGAAGTAACAAGACCCATTGTATTAGTATAGCTTTGGAATCCTTCTTCGTCATAAATTACCGGAGTGCGGCATCATCGGTATGACTATGACCTTGGCATCCATAAGATACGACCGAAATTTCTCCATTGCGAACACAATAGACAAAAGTTCTTTCTCGGTCACCGTGTAGTTCACTTGAGCGTCATTCATTGTCTTGCTCTCATAGTACACCAGATGAAACATTTTATTCACTCTTTGACCCAAAACTGCCCCAATCGCAACATCGCTCGCATCACACATGAGCTCAAAGGGCAAGCTCCAATTAGGTGTGGTAATGATAGGAGTAGTGGCCAACTTATGCTTGAGAGGTTAAATGGCTTGCATACATCTCTCATCGAACACAAACATGGTATCCTTTTCCAATAGCTTGCACAAGGGGTTCACTACCTTCGAAAAGTCTTTGATAAATCTTCAGTAGAACCTTGTATACCCAAGAAAACTTCTAACTCCCTTGACAGAGGTAGGGGGATGGATCCTCGAAATCACATCAATTTTG